AGACCCTGCGCCCCCGGCTGGGCGCTTCCCCTCCCGGGCTCCAGCTGCGCTGGGGAAGCGCTGGCCGGGGGCACAGGGTCTGGGGGCTGTCCAGCAAACCATGAAGCCGGTAGCACTCGGGCAGCCCTTTTCGCGTGGCTGGGAGAGAGGAGGGGGAATGCAGGGCGCTCAGGGGAGGGGGCGGAGTTAGGGCGGGGACTTTGGGGAAGGGCCAGGGAAGGGGGGTGGGGCCCCGTGGAGTGTCCTCTTTTTTTATTTTTTAAATATGGTAACCCTAAGTAATGGTCCAATGAGCTCCTCAGTCAGCTCTTTTCAAACTCTGGGATGCAAGTTATCTAGACATGCTGATTTTAAAATGTTTAATATCCTCCAGCGACACTAGTGGAATGGAAAGAGTGTTAGTGCATCACCATTTGACAAGACTGTTTTCCCCCCGAATACAGAACTCCTCCTTATTGTCTTTAACTGTGCTGGCCATAGATTTCTCCTTATGTCCCTTTGATTCCCCTGATCGGTTTTCTACAATTCCTAACTTCTGATTTATATTCATTACTATCAACTTTCTCTTTCTTCCATATGGAAGCGCATCCCCTGGAAACTACAGGCTCCAGCATGCAATGCAGTCAGGCCACCTGAATCAAAATGGCACATTGCATGCTGGGAACTGTACTCTCTTTGGGCCACACCTTCACATTAAAGGTGAGGGTGTCTTGATCCTGCATCCATTCAGGTCAATGGCAAAACTTCCACTGAGTTGGCTGGGAGCAGGACTGGGTTGCAAGCCAAGGCCTTTGAGATCCTGGTCAAGTTTTCAGTGTAGCCCTCAGCTGGGCTACAGCAGGGTGCCCCTAGGTCATCACAGTGTGCTAGTGAGATGGACCCAGCAGGTGCGTCTGAAAGCCCCTAAGGAGATCGGAATGCAAACAAAGGCCAGAGGGAAGTCAATAATTACCCACGTTAATGATGAACTCAAAGCAAACACCACAGCGGCACTGCGCTTCCTCTTGCCAAATGTCAAAACCTTCCACGCTGGGCAGAGGATCTTTCCAGGAGCTGCATGTGACTGCCTTCCAATCCCAGCCCAGCCCCCAGCTACACTCTGGGTGGCCAAAAGGCCATGCCCGTCCCTTCTGCAGAGAACGAATCTCGAGCCACCAGTTGGCACTGACTGACCTCAGTGGAGCTGGCGATGTTGAGACATTCCTCCATACCCGGGATCTCCAGCTGCAGCACCTTCAGGTCTTTGCACTTGAGTGTGATTGTGCCCAAGGAACTTGCAATCCTGTGGGGAGATGCCAGACAGGAGCTGGGAGTCAGACCCTATGTCCTTGTCTCTTGGATCAACCACAATCCAAACCCCCAAAGTAGAGTCCAGCTGCTGCATGTGTGAGCGTGGGTGCGTGTGAGCATAGGTACGTGTATGTAAAAAGAGACGTGATAGACAAGAGGCAGGTGAGAACTTGAGTGTGCATGAGAACATACGTGTGTAAGAATATGTCTAGTGACTTTCGTCTGTGCTGGGCAGTTGTTTGCATTGTTTGCCTTCACGGCTGCCCTGGAGGATGGGTGAACGTGTGATTGTGGAAGCGTGGCTGTGTCTGTGCACGTGGAGGTGCAAATGTGGGAGCCTGTGCTTGGGAGGGTCTGAACGGGATGACGGTAAGGAGCGTGTGTTAGAGCGTGTTTTATTCCACCTGTCCCCAGGGTGTAAAGGACGGGGGTTTCCAGTCCTTCTGGAGCAGCTCAGGCGCGTTGTCCGTCACCAGAGGAAAGCTGGCTCATCCCTGACGAGTAAGATGGAAGCACCGTTCACTTGGCTGCCCGGCCCCACCTTCTCCCCTGTCTTTCCCCGACTCCTGACAGAAGCAGTGAGGCCAGTGTCCTCCCCACCTCTCTGCGGAGAGGATACTAAAGCAAGCGTTGCAGACGCAGGTCCCTGGTGCCCCAGCCCAGCGCAGCTGTCTGAGCGGGAAGCTGGTCACTAGTTAGTGCAAAGCCAGGCGTTTTAGGTGGGTTAGAGCCAATACAGGGGTAAAAGCCAAACCTGGTCTCTTGGTGGGAGCTGTTAGTCCTGGAGGTTTGGTACCAGCCTAGGTTCTGAACACTGAGTCACAGAAAAGAAGAGAGGTTATTGCACAGGGCTTGAGCTGCACCATCTGGCTAGCCCCAAGGGCAGAGGAGAGAATGGAAAAAGAGGCGAAAGCCTGTTCTGTCCCCTAACCAGCTGCTCGCCCCATGCTGGACGCAGCGCTCGACTGGGACACGCAGCAACCACAGCTGAAGGCAGAGTTCAGTGTCTCGTCCCAGCCCCTGCTCTATGCTGGGGGCAGAGTTGGTGAGATCCACTCTGTTGTTCTCTGGGTCACCAGGGCGGACGGGCACCAAGGGAGGATAAGTGAATGGTGAACAATGTGGGTGGGGCCTGTAGACAAGAGACAGACCCCTGGTTCAACACACGCCCCTTCCCCCCAGATCTGGGGGCGTGAGCCGCGGGACTTCCACTGACGCCAATGGGCCCATCCCAGCTCTGACCACTCACAGACTCTCTCTCTCTCACTCAGAAGGTGAGACTGTGTCAGACACACACGCTTCCCCGGTGGGACATCGTGAAGGGGGCAGGGGAGACTCACCTTTTCTCAACAGCGTCCACGTTCCGGATGAGAAGCCAAAGCTCCACCGTGCCCTGCTCCCCATGGCCCCCGGGCTGGGACGACAGCAGCAGGTGATGGCTGGTGATGCACAGCGTCCCCTTGATCGGCGGGAGCCCGGGGCATGAGAGCTGCACGTTCTCCACCTTCGCTGTCTTGATCAGCTCTGCAAACTCCATGGCGACGGCAGCGGTGCCGAGCTGAACCCTGGCAAGGAGTGCGGGGCACAGAGAGCCCCAAAGAATTGTCACGTGTCCTTCCCAAAGGGCTGATGGGCAACAGTGACCAACAAAGTCCTCGGCCAGCACCTAAAACGGACATAAAAGGAGACGGAGACTCAGCGCCAATGGGGGACAGGCCGTGGGAGGTGCAGAGCATCCTCTCTTTGCCATTTCCTTCCCACCCCCTCCTACAGGTTCATGCTTCCCTCTTCCCACTGTACTGTCTTAGGCCAATATAGGGTCATCCCCTGCAGTCTAGTCTCCATTGCTTTATTCGATCCCTTTTTAAACAACCCACATTTAACGCTGCTTAGGGCCCATGGAACTTTCCATCTGCAAAGCACGGGTGGAGCATTACCTAATTCAGCCCTAGGTCCCATCCTGGGAGTGGGTCAGTGTCATTAGCTCCACTTTACAGATGGAGGCACGGAGAGGCGACGTGACTTACTCAAGGGCTCAGAGGGAGTCAGTGGCAGCCGCGGTTAGCACTTGGGGAGGAGTTCCCAGCACCCAGGCCTCTGCTCAGGCTGACGAACCACCCCTCTATCTCTCCTTGCGTATGTCTACATGGATGGTGGTGCAGCCCTATGCGTCATCCCCAGGGTTATCATTTAAAGGTTATTATTGAAATCTGATATGTTTAGCTGCAGGTGAAAATCCAGCCCCCACCTTGCAAGAAGCTATTGTTATTATTTAGGATTTGTAGTGCGGCAGCGTGGAGGAGCCTCAATGCGCTAGGAGCTGTACAAACCCAGCCCTGCCCCAAAGAGCTTCCAACCTATAATTCATCCTTGGAGGCTGAGGGGTTAGCTCCCTCCCTCTATTCCCAGGCACGCTGGGCTCCAGAATAGACCCCTTTCTAAAACCAGAAACGTCTTCAGAGCTGCTCCGCTTGGCCAGGCTCGGTACAGGGACATTAGACAGAACCTGCTCAAACCCCCTTCGCCCCTAAGTAAGGGGTGGAAGCAGAGATGCCTTCCCCATCTTGGGGAACAGGCTTCTCTTTTGGAATAAGCAGCAGCAGGAAGCAAGTGATTAATACCCCCCAACATCTGACCCCCAGCAACGGCCACTGCCCTTACCTGTTTCTGGAATGGCAACCCTCAGGCTGCAGTCAGAGAGCTGGGTCATCAGAGGGGGCAGATCCTGTTCAAGGGGAGCTTGAGCCGAAACCTCTAGTGCTGGGATCACTGCCGCAAAGGAATTCTTTGGCTGGAAAAGCCATGCCCCAACGAACAGGGGCGCCCGGGTGCTGGCAGCAGGGAATGCGCCACAGAGATGGGCACAGCGGCTTCTGCAGCAGGCATGCAATACCTTGCGGCAGCTGCTGCTTCTGAGAAGCTGGTGATAAGCATGTTCTGATGCAGGGGTTGTGAAACACAGCAACAGGAACTGAGCAGGCTGCTGTGTGGGTGAGGCCGAGAAGCAGAGAGGGAGGATGTCGGGTTTAAGGTGGCCTGGCTCCAGTTTTTGATATAGTTTCTCCCTGGTGTGAGGCTTGGGCCGATGAAATGAGCCCAGGCTTGGGTCTCGCAGGCCCTGCAGGGACCCAAGAGCTTTGCCTTTGAATCACTGCAGGGGGCTTTTCCCAGGCTCAGGGTCATGATGGACAGGTAGGGGGGAAAAGAATCCAGTCTGGAGATGATGGGGTCCCCTCCCTCCTGGGCACGGGGGAGGATGGGGCAGCAGAGGAAGTAAAGTTCTGGGGATACCAGGGTGACAGAGGGCCTCAATTTGGGGGAGGCGGGGGAGACAAGGGGAACCTGCCCGTTGGAGGCACAGGGCTCCTAGCTTCGGGCACCTTGGGAGGGCTGAAGAATTGAATCTGTGGAGAGGGGACAGAGTCTCGATCCCTCAGCCGGGGAGGGAGTTGGGGAGATCGAGGGCATTCCGGTCAGAGGGTGCTAGAGACAGGGCGGGGGGGGGGGGGGGGGTAGTACAGCTGGCTGATAGAAATATGCCCAGTGAGTCGTGACTAGTAAACAATTCCCCCCCAGACACTGTAGGCTTCTTTACCTATCCTCAGTGCCACCTTTTCTGTTACCCAGGGCCCCTGCCCAGACCCAGCTCTGCAGTCTCTGTTACCCAGAATCCCCCAGGCCCACTGCCTGGAACCAGTGCCACAATCTCTATTACCCAGAAGCCTCAAGGGCCCCTGCCCAGCCCCAGCCCCACATTCCCTGTTCCCCATTTACCCCATGTTTCCTTCTCTGCCCCGGCTAAGCATTTTTTTACCTGTCACCCTGTGCTGAATGGTCCTTGTTTTTCTGTATGGGGAGTGTGTAGGGGTAGGAAATGCTGCATTCTGCCTCTGCACTGCAACCTCCTTAGGTTGTCCATTCTCTCCAGGGCCCATGGGTTCCACCTTAAATGCAGCACAGCTGTGGAGAAGCAAAAAAGCCACTGGTTAAAGTGACCTGGCCAGAAGCCCTGAGCACGGCTGGGAGGCGGGTGACCAATGAGAGCTCTCAAAGGGCGGGATTTATTAGCAGAATTGTAGGTCTAGGAGGCCCTATAGCTGCGATCCTGGGGAGAGACGCCTCCCAGGGGGCACAGACTAGAACAAGCCCACACACCCCAGCTTGGCCTTCCCTCTGAAGGTATCACAAAGCGGTGCATGGCCAACTCAGCATGGCCAAACGTGACCCGCAGGGGAGATACTGTGAGATGCCACGTGCCCATTCAGATCTCACATGGGATATCAGCCATGTGGCTACGGGTGCAGAACAGCGTCATGCTGCCTGCAGGGGTCCTTTGCTGTTCTTCCCTGGCATGGCCGAGGGGTTTCTCAGGGACTCTGAACAGAACCCCCTGCTGCAGTGAACTCCAATGTTTCTTGGGGACTCTACACCAGCCCCTCCATGCCAGGCCTCTCCTTCCTTTAACCTCGCCTCTCCTGCACGATCTGCACCGTATGATCTGCCCTGGGCACTGCAGAAGTGCCTGGGGGTGGGGCAGGAAAAGCCATGAACAGAGCTGAGCTTTTTCTTTTTCTTTCTTTCTTTTTTCTTTTTTTTTTTTTTATGGCTCTGTAGCAGCCCTGAATCTCAAGTGACCTTTCAGCCTCCCTTGATCTCGGAGCTGGGTGGAGAAGCAGTTTTATTTCTGTCCCGATAATAGACCGGGAAGGGAAGGCGCGTCGTGGGATAAATTACTTTTCGCTCCTACAGTCCTTTATGTCCCCATTGAAACTTCCTTTCAAAGAACAGGGTGTCTCCTCCCAGCTGGAGACAATAATCTATTTTTTTTTTTAAAAAACACCTCCCCAGGCCTCCAGGCAATTAAAGTTCCTGCTCGTTTATAATCATCCCCGAGTTCCAAGGCTTTATTGTTCATTCCAGAAATAAATACCGGTAGTTCTCCTGCTCACACGCACACACGCAGAGCGAGCCAGCTCTGCCACAGGCAAACGCTCCTCTCTCTTGCACCTGGCAAGCACAACCATGTCCTTCAGCCACCTGAAGTTCAAGGAGCTCGGGGAAGAGGAGTCGAACTCAGACAAGGAGAACCTGGACAGCGTGAAGGCCCTGACGGCCAAGCTGAAGCTGCAGACTAGGAGGCCTTCCTACTTGGAATGGAAGGCCCGCGTGCAGAGCCAGTCCTGGAGGAACGGGGTCACGGAGGGAGCCATCAGCTCGCTGAATGAAGAGCAGGGCGGAGAGGTGTTTCTGGAGGCGACTCAAGCCGACGTGCCGTCCAGGAGCATCTGTGGGTTTGCCACCATGGACGATGCCCTGGAGTGGCTCAGAAAGGAGCTGGTGAGTAGCTTTGTTGGGAGCACGGCCTCTGTGGGAGAAGAGCAAGGGACAGAGAAGGCAAGAGATCTTAAACCATTATCCCAGGCCCCGCAGTAGTAGGGCTCCTGGCCTGCGGAGCTCAGCTTGACATCCCCAGGGCTAACGGGAAATGGGACAAAGAGAACTCCTGGGGAAAGGGGAGGGAGTATGAGGATGCTGGGGAGGAGGAGAAAGCCCCTGCCATGGGCTGGATGCTCGGCAGTTCAATTTGTACCTGGCTTGGGTGTCACATCCATGGCCCGGGGGGGGGTCAATTTTAAAGGTGGCACGAGGCTGGTTTGTTCTCCATCACCCTGCTCACTTCAGCCCTCTGCACCTCGAGCAGGGCTCATTCCCTGGGTTCGTACCCCCGGAATCCCAGCTGGTGTTTGGCATTGTCTTGTCCAGGTACAAAGGAGCCGTTTCGATGCCAACATGCCCATTTTGGTGCCTACCTTTCTCCCTAACTCTGGTGTTTATAGGCCTTGATTGACATGGTCTTTGAGCATTTGTGTGTGTGTGTGTGTGAGCTGTCTCTCTCTTCAGGGGGACTCCCTGCCAGGAAGGGCTGGTTGCTTTACCCTCGCAGTGGGTCGGTGTGGATTCATGGCAACATGATTCCTCCCTGAATCATTCTGGTGCATCCGCAAGCATCACATCTTGCAGCTGTGGCTGGCCTAGTGCATTCCGGGACTCCTGGAGCACCTGTTCCCTAGTACCCTCTTATAGGCGTGAGGGCTTCACGGATTTCCAAGTGTGTGGCACTGCTTTGGGGGCTGGAGTTTGGGGGCCAGCTGACCTGGGGCAGCTGCAAGGGTCAGGGCTTCCTCTCCGTGCTAGGGGGAAGCCGCTGTAGCCAGCACCAGCTCATCTGGACCCAAAGGAAACACCTCCCTCCTGGGGTTGCAACGAACCATTACAGTCAATGCTTGTGAAAGGTCAGGGGAGCTCGGATGTGCGGACGTGGGGGGGCTGCACATGTTCTGCCAGCTCAAGGTGTTCCAGGCACCATTTGTTGCAACGCTTCTTTGCTTAGTGTAGACATGGCCTGTGTGTGTGTGTGTGTGTCTGCATCAGTGCAACTGTGTGTTTGTATGTTTCTCCCCAGCTCGGTCCACGAGTCTGTAAGTGCTCGCACATGTCTGTCTTTCTGATTGCACATTTCAGTGTGTTTGTGCCTCTGCGTTTGTGTGTCTGTGTCTGCACATCTCTGTGTGTCTCTGTCTCTGTCCAGATATCTCCGTGGGTGTCTGTCTCTGTCTATGCATCTCTGTATATTTGTGCATCCATCTGTATGTCTCTCTCTGTCCATGCGTGTCTTTGTATCTCTATCTCTATCCGTGTGTCTTTCTGTCCATCTGTTGCTGGGTGTCTGCGTGTCTGTGTGTGTTCGCATGTCTCGGTGTTTGTCTCTGCAGTGTGTCTCCATATCTCTGTCAGGGTGTCTCTGTGTGTTCACATGTCTCGGAGTTTCCTTTGGCAGTGTGTCTCCATGTGTCCATGTCTCTATCTCTGTCCATGAGTCTGTGTGACCGCATGTCTTGAGGTTGTCGCTGGCGGTATGTGTCTCTGTCTGTCCGTGTGTCTCTGTGTGTTTGCATGTCTCGGGTGGTGTGTGTCTGTCTGTCTGTCTGTCTCTGTATGACCGCATGTCTCAGGGTTGTCTCTGGTGGAGTGTGTCTCTGTCTGTATGTCTCTGTGTGTTTGCATGTCTCGAGGTTGTCTCTGGTGGTGTGTGTCTCTATCTGTCTGTGTGTCTCTGGTGGTGTGTGTCTCTGTCCGTAACCTCTGTGTGTTCCCATGTCTCAGGGTTGTCTCTGGCAGTGTGTGTCTCTGTCTGTCCGTGTGTCTCTGTGTGTTCCCCTGTCTCGGGGTTGTCTCTGGCGGTGTGTGTCTCTGTCTGTCCGTGTGTCTCTGGTGGTGTGTGTCTCTGTCCGTGTGTCTCTGTGTGTTCCCATGTCTCGGGGTTGTCTCTGGCGGTGTGTGTCTCTGTCTGTCCGTGTGTCTCTGGTGGTGTGTGTCTCTGTCCGTGTGTCTCTGTGTGTTCCCATGTCTCGGGGTTGTCTCTGGCGGTGTGTGTCTCTGTCTGTCCGTGTGTCTCTGGTGGTGTGTGTCTCTGTCCGTGTGTCTCTGTGTGTTCCCATGTCTCGGGGTTGTCTCTGGCGGTGTGTGTCTCTGTCTGTCCGTGTG